ATATATGAAAGATTTGTGAGTGTACATCCTGAACCTAAAAATTGGTTAAAATGGGTTAAATTTGAGGAAGGTCAAAATAATTTAGGTAATTAATTATGAAAAAAAATTTTTTTATCAAAGTATATGTATTTTATATGTGCAAATTTTAAATTCTTGTGATTAAATATCAATAATTTCTTTTTATTAGAAAGGTGTAGAGAAATTTTCAGTCATGCTATTGAAATTTTGGGAGAAGATCAAATGGATCAAAAGATTTTTATTGCATTTGCAAAATTTGAAACAAGGTTGAAAGAGGTGCGTGTCTTTTACCACAATTCAAACAAGAAATTATATCTTTATTAGGTACATTTTAAAAATTTATCTTTTAACCTAGTAATAAATTATTTATCTATTTGGTGATTATTATAATTATAACTATTGATTCAATAGTATGAAAGAGCAAGAATTATTTATAAATATTCTTTGGAAAAATTACCAAGGTCTAAATCTGAATCACTTTATAATGCATACACACAATTTGAAAAACAATATGGCGATAAAGAAAGCATTGAAGATGTTGTAGTAGGAAAAAGAAGAGTCCAATACGATGATGTATGTGGCATTTTTTAAATATTTTAAATTAGTCTTTAAATGAGTTTTATCATTTTTGTAAATTAAATTATTATTAGGTTCGTAAAGAAAATATAGTTACTAAAAAAGAAGAAAAATTTAATGATATTACACCAATAGGAGAGATACAATTTAATAATATTATAGCGACCAACAACATTAACGCAACTAAAAGATTGGTGATGGCAGCACATTATGATACTAAATATTATGTAACACCTAATGATGAATACGTTGGTGCAACTGACTCGGCTTTGTCTTGTGCGTTGTTGATGGATCTGGCCGATAGAATAGATCCATACTTAAAGAAAAATGACACTGCTAATTCTACAACGCTCCAAATGATATTTTTTGATGGCGAAGAATCATTTAAAACGTGGACTCCGACTGATTCATTATATGGCTCAAAGTGAGTAGACAGAGAGAGGGCGTGGGGAGAATTAATGATAAATTATAAATAATACTTTTTAAAATTTATTTTCATTTTTAAAAGGCATTTAGCAGCAAAATGGGAAACTGAAACATTGAAAAATGCACAACCGTTCAAATCAAATTCGTTGTTGGATGGAATAGAAACATTCATATTGTTGGATCTATTAGGAGCAAAAAACCCAACTTTGGTGAATTTCTTTCAGACGACATCTTGGATGTTTAGAGCAATGGCTGATATAGAAGAGACGTTGCATGATTTAAAAATCTTGAAAAAGCCTGCACATACACATACAGTGAATAACGATGACGATGATAACTTCGAGGAAAGCTCGATGTTTGATATCACATCTTTGACCACTTATCAAGCCCACATTGAAGATGATCATGTGCCATTTCTACAAAGAGGTGTTCCTGTATTACATTTAATTGCTTATCCGTTTCCTGAAGTTTGGCACACTATAGACGTAAGTGTTATTGTGAGAAAGAGGAGATGATAATTAAAAGATGATGATACTCGTAATTAATGTCTATTTATAATTAATATTACATTCTAATTAAAATCATTTTTCCGATTCTTGTAGGATAATTTTACAGCAATTGATCCAAATACTGTGTACAACTTAAATTCAGTTTTTAGAATATTTTTGGCTGAATATTTTGAAATTGACCCATCCAAATACACTGATATCGCTGGAAAACCTTAGACAACTCCTTATGCCTCTCCCTCAAAACTACAACAAGCATAATTGAAATTCATGAAATACACGTTCTACAAACAACATAACAGTGTTCAATTGTATATCTTCAAGCAGAC